GCCAAAACGCATGCATAGCGACCAAGGACGAGATTTTGAGAGTCGTCTCATTCATCAGTTGTTGAGTTCCCTTGGTGTCGAAAAATCAAGAACGACCCCATATCATCCACAAGGGGATCCCCAGCCCGAGAGGTTTAATAGGACCTTGTTAAATATGCTTGGAACCCTGGAGCTGGATAAGAAAAGAAAATGGAGTCAACACGTCGCACACTTAGTCCATGCGTACAACTGCACGCCAAACGAAGCTACTGGTTTCTCGCCTTACTATCTAATGTTCGGGCGTGAGGCAAGGATGCCTGTGGACCTTTGTTTTGGAACATCAAGCGACAACGCATGCAAAGAGAACTACCTCAAATACGTAATGGACATGAGAAAAGAACTCAAAGCTGCATACGAACTTGCAGAGTCAGCTGCTGCAAGACAAAACAAAGGAAACAAACAAAGATATGATCAAACGATAAAGTTCACACAACTGTTACCTGGAGATCGTGTTCTCATACGCAATCTTGGATTACAAGGAAAACATAAGCTGGCAGACCGCTGGGTTTCAACACCTTATGTTGTGGAAGGTCAAATGTCACCTTTACCTGTGTTTCGGCTGAAACCAGAAGATGGAAATGGACCTATCAAAATCCTCCATCGCAACCACATTTTACCTCTTGGACAGAGAGTATGTTTGACAACAAATCAAAACTCAGACCCTGCTCGAAAGAGGAAAGTCACAAGGAAAAAGAGCCATAAAGAAAGCAAAGACAATGACAAAGATTCATTCGTACAACCTGAAATGTCTGAACAAGACAACATAGATGAATCCGATGATTCAGAGGATGAAGACCTTGGAATGTGGTATGAGTTGCCCTGCTATGAAAATACAATAGAAAACGATGAAACGTCTGAGCCATTTTGTCTAGATCTCGACGTTCAAGAAGAACTTTTGAAAGATGTTTCAGAAGAACAAGCAAGTGACAATGTGGAGACTGGACCAGACATACTTAAAAACTCTGACCTGCAAGAGACAAATACTTCTCAGAAAAAAGAGACTCAGACTGCAAAACCTGACTCATGTGACATGCAGACCGATCATGAAACCAGAAGACCTGAAAGACTCAGAAAAGCTCCTTCGAGACTTACTTACGACTCACCAGGAAGTCCTAGTGTTGTTTCTCCAACGGTTAAATATGTTTCATGTGTGTATAAGTGGATCACCTCCCCTTTTGTAACTTGAGTTTACCTTACTTGATTATATGCCATAAGTCATGAGGGCATGCCTTTTTTTGGTGGAGGGAGAGTGTAATAACCTGATTATTTTGTATCAGGATATTTTTATTTGTAAGTCATTAGTCATAAGAGTCATTTATTTCATGTCATTATACATTTCATAGTTTGTTATAAAAAAGGTTAAAATATGCCATTTGCATTACATTTAAAACTGTTCATGAATACAGGTCATTTCATTTATGGTGCACAAGTTAAAACCCCGGGATATTTTATTTAGTTGTTTTTGACTTTGCTGGTGTCAATCACATACGTAGCTACGCACTGCGTAAGGTGAGTGAGCGAGAGAGAGAGAGAGAGAGAGAGGAAAAAAAGAGACGAGGAGCACGAAGCAATGAACTGCAATGGCGACGCTCGCAGAAGATTTGCTCTTGCGAAAAACAGACTAAAAAGACTGTAGAGCTGTGCTACCGTTGGACTGGATAATTCCCCTTGTTCCGGAGGACCGTGGAGGACTCGTGGACGATCAAGGGGGTGAGTTTGAACAATTTTCCCAGCCCGTGGTTGGGGGAGCTAGCAGTAAAGCTAAACTAAGCTAAATGTTGCTATCACCGTGTCTGCTTAGACCCAGACGGGGGAGAGACGGTGTGGTCATCGGAGATCGGCACTCACCTGCGTTGAGGACGACAGTCAGAGTGGATTCCGTGTACACATTTTGTTCTGCTTTTTCTTGACCGTATGGACCGTGAAGAATAACGGTAGGATTGAACCAAAACTTTTCCAAACTGAGCTCCAACGCGCGCCAACATAAATGCAAGCTTGCTTCTAAATCGAGTGCACTCGTGGTAAAGACTGGTATAAACTTTCTTTGAGGGGGATTATTTTATTTGTTTTTTTCATTTTCTATGCAATAATTATTTGTTCAATACATAATTCCTTTTGAACTCATTTGCTGTGTGTGTTTCTCATTAATAGTGCAAGGTAATATAGGTAAAGATACACGTTTTGAGTTGTTCGATATGTTAATTCTGGGAAGCCTCATTTTAATAATTTAAATTGTGAGGATCATACTTCTAACCTAGACTATTGGTTTTATACATTGGAATGTCTCTTTTACCATTTTAAGTAATACAACGAGCCGGGTGGTAAAAGGGTTACATAAGCAACATACTTCAAGGCCACAGCCCCTAAGGGCTCAAAAGGGTGATGACAAAGGGCATTAAGCACGACCGACAAATCCCACAAGGGAACCAGGGACTTAACCACTGGAAGTTTACGTCGTGCACCCCTCATGAAGCGACAAACCAGAGGGTGCTGTCCCACAGTTTTGTCACCGATACCCACGTGGCACGCCGATATGGCAGCCAAATAGACCTTTATAGTAGAAAAAGCCTTGCGCTCTTCTAACAAATGTTGTAAAAAACATAAGACGTCAGACACGGAGCATTGGAACGGGATGATCTGTCTAGCCCCACACCATTCCTCAAAAACCCGCCACTTGCAGCTATACAAAGAGCGAGTGGAGGAGGCCCTAGCACACTGTATAGTATCTATAACAGGCGCCGGAAGACCCGTGGCGTTCAAGTTCCACCTTTCACGGGCCAGGCCCAGAGAGCCACCCGGTCTGGGTGAGGATGAAAAATCTCCCCGCCCGCCTGGCACAACAGGTCCCTCCGCAGAGGAAGAGGCCATGGGTTGTCCCATAAAAGCTGCACTATCTCCGCCATCCATGGCTTGGACAACCAACGGGGTGCAATCAAAATGAGCGACAGCCTCTGTTCTCTCACCCGCGCTAGGGTGGGTGAGATCAGACTGATGGGAGGAAACGCATATAGTAGAACGGTCGGCCACGGGTGGGCCAGAGCGTCCACGCCCAGAGACGCGTTTGCGTCTCCCAGAGAGAAGAACAGTGGGCACTTTGCGTTTTCCCGCGAGGCGAAGAGATCTACGGCAGCCCGACCGTATCTCCGCCACAACTGCTCCACCACCTGAGGGTGGAGAACCCACTCTCCGTACAGGGGGTTTCCCCTCGATAGCAGGTCGGCCCCCTTGTTGAGGACGCCTGGAACATAAGACGCTCAGAGAGATAGGAACCTTGTGTCGCTCCACAAAATCACCCTCTGTGCCAGCCTGTGCAGCTGAAGAGAGCGGGTACCACCCTGGCGATTTATGTACGAGACAACTGTTGCATTGTCTGTTCTCACCAGAACGTGATGGTCCTGAAGGAAAGGCAGAAAATGCTTCAGAGCTAGATACACCGCCCAAAGTTCCAGCACATTGATGTGCCTCTGGGCTAAATGTGGGTCCCAGGTCCCATTCACCGTCCGACCCGACAGAGTGGCCCCCCACCCTGACAGGGAAGCGTCGGTTGTCAGGGTAACCCTTGACGACACGGCGCCCAGCGGGACTCCGGCTGAAAGAGCATGATGAGCCTCCCGCCACGGACGTAGTGCAATAACACACTGGGAATCCACCTTCACTCTGCGGTGAAGGTGACGTTTGGGACACAAGCGCAACGCTGTGATCCAACGTTGAAATGGTCTCATCATTAAAAGCCCTAGGCGCACGACAGATATTACTGACGCCATGAGACCAGCGAGGCGCAGGCACGTTCTGAACGTGACTGTCGCACCCGGGTTGAAAAACGCCAAGCAGCGAGTGAGAGACAGCCGTCTCTCGTCTGTCAGTGTGGCTCGATGTGTGAAACAGAGTTTATGCATAAACCCAGGTATTGAGTCTGCTGTCTGGGTTCCAACCGGCTCTTTGCGTGGTTTATTCTGAAACCCAGGCTGGTCAAGTGACTGAGCACTGTGGCAGTCTCTCTCACTGCGGCGCCCTGTGAACTGGCGCATATCAGATAATCGTCTATATAAGAGAATATCCGTATTCCCCTGGCCCGGAGAGGAGCCAGAGCTGCCTCCACACAAGTGGTGAACACCCGTGGGGCTAGGGAGAGACCGAAGGGAATGACCTGGTACTCGTACGCTGTTCCCCAGTGAGCAAAACGGAGAAATTTCCTGTGCGCTGGATGCACCTCAATGTGGAAATATGCATCCGCAAGATCGATTGTGGTGAACCAATCCCCTTTGCGTATTGAACGACAGAGCTTTGTGCGTCAACATTTTGAATCTGAATCTCCGTAGATGTGTGTTCAAAACACGGAGGTCTAGAATGGGACGCAGTGACAGAGAGCCCTTCTTTGGAACCAGAAAGTAGCGGGAGTAGAAGCCCAGCTGAGACTCGCTCTCTGGTACAATGCGGATAGCGTGCTTGCTTAACAGGGATGTAATTTCGTCCTGTAAGACACGGGCTGCGTCCCCTGAAGCCACTGAAACAAGTACTCCGTTGAAGGAGGGTGGTTTTATAGCAAACTGCAGTCTGTAACCTCGAGAAACAGTGGATTGAACCCAAGGATTGACTGCGCATGCGCGCCACTGCTCCGCTCTGACAGAGAGTGGGGCTTGCACCAGGGGAATCCCTGGTGACGTCACTCCCCTGAGAGGAGCAGAGCCTTCTGCCTGAGAAGGAGCGTGAGCTCCCTCTGGAGGCGAACAAAGGGAATGATCCAAACTTAATTGAATTTTTTTGTTTGATTGATAACTCACCCTTAGCCCTTGGCCTGGATGCGAGTTTAACAACTTTATTTTTTTTTTGAAAAAGTGTTTTGTGAACATGAGACCCAAGACTCATTCCCTGTAACGTGCGAGGGGATAGAAAGCCAGAGAGGTCGCCTGGAGAACTGTGCGGGGCCTCTGAACTGGTACCAGGGTCCATTCTCCTCCTTTTCAGAGGGGGAACAGGTGAAGAAGCTTGATTGCTAGGAATTGCGCTTCTTTTTGCTCTCCCCGGGCTGAGAAGAGCGGTTTTTTGCTGCAGCCGCAGCATAGGAGTGTTTTCCCCATGGTCTGGAGTTGCCTGGCCGTTGCTGCTGGCCAGAATGCTGGTTGGAATGCTGGCCAGGGTGCTGGGTTGCCCCCCTCTGCGGCCCAGGGCCGAACCACCGCTGGGGGTTCGGCCAACCCCAGCTCCTTCATCCCATGGATCTCCAGCTTTGAATAGCCCTGTACAGGAAGCTTGCTCCTAAGTGGGTTATTCCAAAACCTCCCCACCTCTCTCATGCACGCGCTGACAGCAGGGAGAAGTTGCTTCGGAGGTGGATGCGCTGGCGGGAGCCGTTTACCGTCATATAAATCCCTTTCCCAATCCTCCGCATCTACAGCGGCTGGCGAGGTTATGTTAAGCTTGGCGGCAGCGCGCTTGCACACATCATATAGGCTGCTATCGACGGGAGTCGCAGCCTCAGATGCGCTGGAGGGTCGGGACTGGGCCGCTGGGAATGTAGAGTCCTCCTCCACATCATCCATGTCCACAGCCTCGAGGAAGTCAGAAGCGGCATCATCGCCGTCTGCGCCCTCGTCGCCTGGGTCCACTTCGAGCAGGTCCTCGAATAATGGCGGCATATCGGCGTCATCGTCATTCAGCATATCTGACCACAGTTCAGTCTTACGGGGCTGTTGAGTGACGGCTGTGGGTTTATCGGTGGTCCCCGCCAGCAACGGGTCCTGGGGATGAGCCACCGCAACTCTGAGCCTCCTCTCCAATATTTTCTCAGGCATAGATGAGCAATACCCGCAGGACTCGCGGTCAGCGAGCGCTGCCTGAGCGTGTTTAGCGCCCATGCAGGTTATGCACATTGGGTGAGGGTCCCTGCCTGAGATGGCAGACCCGCATGACGCAGGGCATGAGCGGGATGCAGCCTCCTTCGGCTTCGGATCCGACCCTTTGGCGGGGGTGGTAGCCGTAGACATGCCTGACAGAGAGCAGAGCTGGAGTGAGCACGATTGTATGAACCAGACAATTCGGGTTTTAAGTCGAAAAACAGGTCCAGGCAAATTCTGTTCGCCACAACACGTTAACAGAACCGCGCACTACAATCTGTTGGCCAGTAAATTAATACTAACCAACCGAACAGAAGGACTCCGCTTTACGCGAGAGCCCTGGGTTAACAAGTGAATGCTAACCGCAAGGTGATAGGACAGACCGCAACTTAATGTGATCTGTCCCCGTAAACACAAGAGCAGTTCGCCTTGACGCGGTCACTGCTCCGGTAACAAAATAATAATAGCTTAGCGGTAAGACTGTAAGGACTTACCCAGCGTCGGTGAACCAAAGCACCAGCAACTGCGCTCGCCAACGAAATCCTTTACGGCTCGTCTGTGAACTGTTAAGCAAAAGCTAGCCTAAGGTCCGAGAACGCTGAAGGAGCTAAAAGATATGGTTTCCACGCGGGAAGAAAGATTCCCATAGTGAAACACCGAACGAAGTTAGAAAAAGAACTCACTTTCATATTGATGCAGCCCTTTATTGAAAACAGATGTGCAGTGTTGACATTTCCTTTTGATAATGACCTTCTTTTGTCCTGTATGGAATTTAAAATGGAAGCAAAGTAGCATTTAGCATTTCTAGCTCTAGCATTGGCATAGTAGCATTAGCATCACCAGTTCAAACGTGTGTGTGTGTGTGTGTGTGTGTGTGTGTGTGTGTGTGTGCGGTGTGTGTGTGTGTTTGTAGATATAGATTCTGCTTATGGAGTGCCTTTGATTCAGCCTCTTGGAGTATTTCATGGTTGTGGCAGTAACAAGAACAGGAGAATTATCTAAAGGAGCTACTTGGATCTGTGTAAACGCATCAGCCATAACATTACGTTTCCAGACAGACGTTTTTGTGAATGTTTTTGTCGGGAGGGAAGATGGAGGACAACTGAATAAAATGGCAGTATCACATTGTTCTCAAAATATGACATTTGCACCGGGTCTTCTGCATTACACTTGCGAGCTCTAGTTCCTCTATCTAAACTACTCTAACACACTTGTCACAAACTTTTCATATATCAATGACCAGTTTAGACAACTCTAGTTTTAGTCTAAAAAACCCTAAATAGACTACTTAATTTAGAGAATACATATTTTGACCATATGAGTATTTTTCATATATTCAAAACAGTTCCTTCATTTTGAATAAGCATCAAACAGACCTGTTGTGGGTTTTAGCTGAGTCCATGCTGATCAGAGGGACAAACGCTTGCCTCCCCATTCTTTTATAAACCTAGTATAGTATGGCAGCTATAATGTAATACAGCAACCAATTATTTCCCACTTTCTACCACCTATTTATCTACTAAACTTTTATTCTTAGTAATTCTCCAGATTAGGCCCAAGAAGTTTGTACTTATTTATATGGACTTTAATAATTATCTATAAATGCATCAGTATTCTTGTATTTTGGTTCAAATGGACTGAAACAGTAGAAAGGCCTTTTATTTTCCATTGTATCGAATGGAAAGTGCCCTTTGCCTTTCATGCAGGCTGTGAACAATCCCCAGCTTTACTACTGTGCCAATCTCGCTACTCGGCAAGAAGGTCCTGGGTTCAAATCCCAGTGTGAACGGGGCCTTTCTGGTTTTCCCTACCATTAAAAACATGTACAATAGGTCAAATCCTCCAGCTCCAGAAGTCCTGACCAAGAGCATCAACATCTGGCGTTCAGGATGGGTCAAAGGCAGAGGCCAAATTTCTATGTGGGGATAATAAAACCATATCCCTAAAATCCCTAAAACTCATATTTCCCCTTTAATTGTTAAGGGTTGCTTCCCCAGGCTCAATCATAATGTTATGGCTGATCTTTTCCTTCTTTTTAGCACCTATTCAACCCGTAGGTAATTGTCAATACAATAAAAACAAAAACGCAATGAGCCTTGAGTCCATTCCCACCGTTCCTCGAATCGGGCGTTCTCTTGGTCCCCACTTTTGCCGTCGTGCTCGTCCTGGAACTCGTCAACTCCAGGGCTCCCGCCGAGTCGTTCATTTTGTCCTGAAAAATCTCGCTCTCAAACATGGCCGACCTCGTTCTGTAGCTCGACGTGGCCATCTCTGTCCTTTCGCCGCCGATCCAAAACGGCGACTCAGTGAAGAGGTCCCAGTTGGCGCTCGACCTCCCGCACGTGGCCTTGGTGTAGCATGGGCATCCCAGGACGGCGGCGCGGGTTAGCTCCGCCCACTTGATCAATTTCGTCATATTCTCCTCCTCTTCGCACGCCCACGGGTTGTCCCCTAAAGTCATAACCTCCAGCGCTAATAGCTTGTCAAAGACGCCATCGTGAAGCCAAGAAAATCGGTTACTATGCAAGAAAAACCGGGTCAGTTTCGCCAGTCTATCCAGCGACCCGGGCAAGATCTGAACCAAAAAGTTATGCGAAAGGTCCACGATTTCCAAATGGTGTGGCATGTTCGTCGGCACGGTCCAGAAACGGTTGTAGCTGAGGTTGAGGACTTGCAAACCCGGGAGAGTGTTGTTGATGAAGACGATTCGCTCCAGTTCGTTGCCAGATAAGTCCAGGGTCTTGAGGTTCCAGTGGTAGGCCGTGTCGTTCTTGTCCAGGGTTCGGAAGTGGTTTCCCGAGGCCCGGAAGTCCCAGAGAGAGCGAGGCAGAGCGGAGGGCAGGGTCTCCAGCCGGTTGTAGGAGAGGTCCAGGGTGCGGAGGTGGGCGTAGTGGCTGAGCTGCCTGTCCAGAGAGTGGAGACTGTGGGGAAGAAGAGTGGAAATGCACATGTTAGTTTGGTTTCTGAAAATAAGAAGTTAAAGAGATTCTTTATTTGTCCCACATTGGTGAGAAAATTGTGTTGGGTCACCAGTTAACCAATAGTGGCTAAAAATATTAACACCTTTGACTTTATCATAATAAAGAAGGTGTAACTTTAGCAGAATAAAGAAGCAGTATATTCTAGACAACAAGCTGTTTTTGTCTTATTCAAACACATTAAGAGTCACTATTTGTCTCTTTGGGCTGAGAGCTGATTGGCTGAGTGAGGGTGGTCCATTCTTTTACCCTTTTCATCTTTAAGATGTGACAGAGACCAAAAATACAACCAAATTGTTTTGAAAGCGAGGAACCAGATAGTTATCAAAAAGTTATATTTTGTATTTTGAAAGTTAGGTAACCCAGCTTTAATATTATTATTTTAACATTGTTCCCTCATAAAAGGTCTTTCCCGCTTCCACAAAACACAAAACAAATTGGTTCTTATAATTTCTGCAATAATGTTTGAGATTGCACTGTAGAATTTTTTTAATTGATGAAAATATGAAAATAATTCTTTTGTGAAATTGGGCCAAAATTGCTGTCAAAGTCTCAGTTTCTCAAGTTTGTCATCATGGAACTTCCTGTTTTCACTTCCTGTCATTTTCAATATATTTTTGACAAACCGCTTCCTGATTGCAGCAGAAAATAGCCACTTTTTCCACCTCTGTCTTAACCAAAATCTACCTTATTCATAACAAAATCGGTGTTATTCTGACCTATTGAAAGCATCATTTTGTGAGGTCTTACACTAACAACATAGAAACACCAGCGTCAGTCGATAAGATTTCAACATTGTCTCAAACTTAGGCCCAGAAGAACTACACCTTCTGACCACTGGAGACGCCAACTTCTCGGACTACAGAATTCTACTTATGGTGACATGTTTCTATCTGTTCATCGCTAAAGCTGTGGTTTTTATCGTAAGAGGAGAGTGACGCTATTAAAACTCTGTACCGTGATTGTGTTTGGGGAAACGTGGTGGCGATGCTGTCCAAACTTTGTCAATCCACGCATTAACTACCTCCTCCTACTCGGTATCTATTTGAGGCGGGGGGAAAAAACAATCATTCTCAGTATTGCAATATTTTGTTGCTGCATTTAAATCAATACAGTAGGTTATTGTCAAGTATTGGCAATATTTTTTTATTTGTGCATTCCATCAACCCGTTCAACACAACGCAATCCGACAGGACAATTATGTATTTCTTAATAATACATAATAATAAGGTACGTAATAAGGTCCTGTGTCCTGAATGTTCAAGGATAACGTTTTTCGCTAACCTGGTCTTAGCCATCGGTAAACTCCGGTCCATGATCATTTCCTTCATGTACGTCTGGGTTGAATCCCCTCCGACCATTCTGTGAGTGGAGGAGGGTGTTGTAGGTCGGTGTTGGTGACGTCAAGAGCTCCAAATATCATGAAATTGATATTGCGGCAATGAACGTCATTGCCGCAAAGATGTTGTGGCTCTACTCCCCACAGGCTCTGTCAGTGGCAAAAGAGATGGCTAAAGCTAGGCTAAATGCCTCACCCACTCAGGCACATTAGTTACGTGACGGTAAACTCAGATTTAACCCCTCCCACCTGTTACCGGAGTCAATGGAGCAAATCTAGACCTTAGTACAAAATGAAATGAGTATCATGGTGTGGTAAGACCAGGCTAGGTTTTTGCACTAACCTCCTCAGTTTTTGCACTTCAGTTAATGTGCTGCGGTCTGATTCTCCTCAAATGTTGTTATATCCAGTCTGATATTCCTTGCCATGTTGCTTGGTCCATCTTGTTTCTTACGGGCCAATATCTTAAAGGCAGTGTGTGTTTGGGGTCGGGGCCATGGCTTTACCTGTTGAAGGAGAGGTTTAGGAATCTTATGTTGTGCTGGAGATCAGGGGGCAGTCTGGTGAGGCCTCGTGAGGAGCAGTCCACCACGCGATGTCCCCAGCTGCAGTGACACACTCCTGGGCAGACGGACAGCACTGGGGCCCCCGACAGCTCCAGCAGGACCCCCAGGAGCAGGCACAGAGCTGGGGCCCCGCAGCAGGACGACCACCGCACTTCACTGGGGAGAGAGAGAGTTGATCTTAAGTCGGTTTGGGAAGCTCTAGATTGGTGCTTTTTAAACATAGGGTTATTTTATAATGTTGAATCATGGGAAAAATCATTGAAAAAGGAAATGGATCATCTCCGGAGCTAACATGTGTTTGATTGGGTTTGTGTGTGTGGGGCTCAGATGGTGGAGCATTGGCCTTTGAGCCTGAATGTCGTTGGGTTCGATCCCACCACGAGACCTTCTCCACCGCCTCCCACTGCTGTCGTTGTGTCCTTGAGCAAGACATTTAACCTTACTTGGCCTGAAACCCCCGCTGAAAGATCAAGACTGTGTTGGAGGAGCAGGAGGATTAGTGAGGACCAGGAGGACCAGGAGGAGCAGTGAGGAGCAGTGAGGAGCAGTGAGGAGCAGTGAGGAGCAGTGAGGAGCAGTGAGAAGCGAGGAGCAGGAGGATTGGAGAGGAGCAGTGAGGAGCAGTGAGGAGCAGTGAGGAGCAGTGAGAAGCGAGGAGCAGGAGGATTGGAGAGGAGCAGTGAGGAGCAGGAGGATTAGTGAGGAGCAGGAGGATTAGTGAGGAGCAGGAGGATTAGTGAGGAGCAGTGAGGATTAGTGAGGAGCAGTGAGGAGCAGGAGGATTAGTGAGGAGCAGGAGGATTAGTGAGGAGCAGTGAGGAGCAGGAGGATTGGAGAGGAGCAGTGAGGACCAGGAGGAGCAGTGAGGACCAGGAGGATCAGTGAGGGGCTGGTGCTCTATGTACTGAGTGCAGCTCTGACTACCACCCCCCCCCCACCCAGAAATGGATTAGGGGGAAGAAGATGATTGGATGAATTGTGTCTGCAGTTATGGCTTCATATTGAGATGAAGAGATTCTTGATCTGTCTTTGTGAGGAAATGTCAGTATGTAATAATAAGTTGCTTTTCTATAGAAACTCTGTTATTCTTATTCTTAAACAGGATATCATAAAAATCGCAGTGTTGGTCAGAAATAATGGGTATATTTGACCAAAAGCCTTGAGGCTGTTTAGACGCCGGTGTTCCAGTTTAGTCTGCTCCGACAGTGATGGGTGTTTGACGGACGTTTATTCGATTTGGGACAAATGGAGCTGAACCTGCGCTGGTCTCTGAGGATGGCCTTCATGAAGTGTGGGCTCCAACAGTTCAGGAAGGCTCCAGGTTTAGATCCATACTGCACATGTGTCTGCCTTCAACACACGCACACACACACACACACTTTCATTTTAGTTGTGTTGTTGTTGTCAATAGTCAATACATGTGGGTGGTTGGCGTCTCCTTGTGGCACCTGTACATTGTCGATAATAGAGGAAAGATTCTTGGTATTTAGGGTTAGCCAAATACATTTCTATTCATTTGAAAACATAATGCTAATTCTACTTTATTTTAGCTGAATTCCAAATATTCATAAGGTGTTTTCTCCGCCATTTTATAACGCAAAGTCAAGTTTTCTTTGATAAATTGCCCCATCTTTCTGCTAATACTTCCTTAACTACGCTAATAGTGTGGGAATTGTCAGGCTTAGATCCACACTGACATGCACCGGTCCTCAAACCAGTTTTTGTTGTTGCTAAAGGTCAATACATGTGGGGTTGGAGTCTTCTAGTAGCAGCTGTACATTGCTACTATATCGGACGGATCACCCCAATACATTTCTATTAATTTGATAATATAACTCATGAATTCAACTTTGTTTTAGCTCAAAATCTCATTCCAAAAATCCCTATGTTGTTTCTCTGCCATTTCATAACATTTATATTTTCTTTGATACATTGCTCTATATCTGTTACTTCCTTAACTACTGTCTTAACTCCCTCATCTAACATTTGGGGTTGACATCTTTTTGTGGCAGCTGTACATCACCGACAATAGAGGAAAAATTCTTGATATTTAGAATTACCTCAGTACATTTCTATTCATGTGAAAGCACAAAGCTCAAAAATGTCATTTCTCTGCTATTTCACAACAAAATGCCAAGTTTTTTTTAAATAAACGTGTCCATTCTCTTATCTTTTTGCTTCTACCGCATTAAGAGCAGCTTCTAATATGTATACACCTTTTTACAATTATCATTTTAATCCTAGATTTGAAGCCCAGCCAAGTTTCTCCCTAATGGCCCCTATTACTGCAGTAGCGCTCCGAACCAAATGATCTGCAGATGCCTCGGACAAACTTGCCTCAAAGCTGTTATCCCATCGCCAACTTCCGCCTGGTTTATCATCGCAGCCGCACAAATGTCCTGTCGGGGTTTGCGTGCTGGGGAAAATGAGCTTTATGGAAGTGTCTGGCCATGCTTAAAGTGTGTCCGATCGCAGAGAAATGCCGTTTATTGCCTGAAATCGCTCACCTCATGGTTTCCTCAGCCGTGCTTAGTCATGGCTGCACGTGGACGTACACTGGCGCATTCGAGATGTGGATGTAAACCGGTCACTTCTTTTTGCATGTGTTTTTGCTCGCTTGCCGGTCGGTCTGCATTGTCCCGTCGCAGCAGTAGAAGTGTGTGTGTGTGTGTGTGTGTTGGAGCATGGATGAGGGGAGGGAAAGGTATATGGAGAGTGGAGGAGGAGGGGGTAGAGAATTGCAGCAAAAGTGCACCCCTTCTGCTGATCCGGCATCTGTGTGGCTTTGGATTTGATACTGGTCAAAGTGGAATCTAAACTAATAACAACAACATAAAACTTGTATCTGTGGCTCTTAAACATGACATTAGCTTGGTTTACTTTAGCACATGGGATTTCTTAACCATTTAGGCGTCAAAGTAGAAAAGAATCGATCATATTTCTATCCCTCTCTATAGAGAACTGGCTTCACAAGTCTGTGGTTAAAAGCTGCGATACCCAACTTTCAAACCACACATGTTTTATGCTGAGTAAGATCAATCTAACCTCGGTTTTAAACGGTTTTGTTTTAGCTAGTTTTCTTGTGCTCATGATGATAATACAAAGTCAAAATAATAAGATGGAATAGTAGGAAGACAAAGCAGACAGTAAAATACAACATGTGAAAGTTAAAAATGACAGATATAAGCTGTTTGATAAAAGTGGGGTTTATGAATTGATTTACACTTCATTAATCCCCGTAGGGCAATTCATCCTCTGCATTTGACCCATCCTGATGCCACTAAGGCTTACGCCAGGAGCAGTGGTTGCCATAGTAACAGGGCCTGGGACCAGAGCTGGAGGATTTAACCTAGTGAGCATGTTTTTAGTGGTAGGGGAAACCGGAGTACTCAGAGGAAACCTACGCAGGCACGGGGAGAACATGCAAACTCCACTCAGAAAGACCCTGTTCCGACCGGGATTCGAACCCACGACCTTCTTGCTGAGAAGGCTATCCACTCAGCCACCGTGCCGCCCACTGATGGTGCTAGCCTTATTTCCTTGTGTCTTGTCACTTCTTTAGCAGGGCCTTTCTGAGCACTGGGGGCCCTGTGATAGTGTTTTCCTCTTTTCTGTCTGAAAAAGCAGAGCTAAAGACGTGACAGACAAAAACTAGTAATTAACCGAAATAATGCGGATGGATTGTGGACTTTGATTAGTTTTTCTCTGCTGTTTCCAAGTGAAGGACCCTAGAATTAAAGGCCAACACCAAAATCGGGTGTTGACCGATGGTGACGGCTCTTGGACTGGGTAGTTTTCACAGGTTCTGACGTAAATATCCTGAAGAGGCAGAATATAAACTCTGCAATCTTCCACTTCCTCTAAACGTGTCAAAAATGCATGATGCAGTCACGAAGTTCACTCAGAAATTACGCATGGACTCTTTACCGGGGAAGTCAAATACATCAGAGCCCAAAATAACCAATTTTCTATAAGACGAGGGTTGGACCGGTTCAATGTTTATTAAAACATATTAAAATTCTGCATATACACTATTGAGCCAAGACCTAACACAGTGGACCCTATTTTATTTAATGATTAAATGAATAATCCAATATTTTCTTGTGTCTCTGTGCGGCCGGTGTAACGTCTGTTTGCACTGCTTTAATGAGATGCACTGCCTCAGCTGTTTATGATGTAATGCAAACCTGCGCGTCTCACGGCAGCCGGAGCAAACCAAGATGGCGGACCGTGAACTGCTTTAAAAGTTAAAATACGAACAAATTAAGACACGAATGTCACTTTTAATGCAATTTCAGGCGAGTTGTTGATGGTTCCGTTTTGTCACATGTGGGTTTTATATTTTTATATAAATATAAAAATTGTTGGTCACAAGCAACTATTGGACAACTTTCTCAGTCGGTCTCAACCCAAACTTACTAAAAAATGACTCCCGACATGAATGGATTGTGGTTATTATTGATGGAAGTTTGCAGTCTTGGTGACTTGTTGATAAGGACCAGTCAAATACTGATTTAAGCCCAGAATAATCAAGTGTGAATGTGTTTTGAAGGGTGGGGTTATAGCAGCAGGGTGATTCTTTGTGTCCGGAAAAACCCTTCTCCCCCAGATTTAAAAAATTGGATGGACAATATACAGAAAGTGGTTTCACGTGAAAAACTATTGGCCAGGCTAAATGACGATTCTGATATTTTTGCTAAATCTTGGGGGCGAATTTTTGAAAAAGATTTGAACAATGAAAAGCCACTTTTTGTATATATACTGTAGATATGGGAATGTTTATTTTGGTTTATTATTATTATACCTTGGGCCCAAGTGATATTTAGAGATTCTGCTGATATCTGTGTCTGATGTTTATGTTAAAGTTGAAAAACAAAATCTAAATTTGAATTACGAAAAAAAAATACTGATTTAACCCTTGTGCTGTTTTGGAGCCAAGGGCAGTGAACCGCCACATGTGATCAAAAGAAGAGGAGAAATGATCTAAATTAGGGTCTAAACGGGTCTAAATGCCTCAGGGCTGGTCAAGTGAAGAAAAATCATCAAAATTCAGCTCGGGGGGAGGAAAAAAAAACATTTAGGGTATTTTTTTTGTCCCCTCATGCTAACCTGTACAGATGTAGACATACTGCTCCTTTGATATGCTAAAGTTGGAGATTTTAGATTTGCTTTGTCATTATGCTAAAGTTTGTATTTTTTCTAGTATATAGTTATTTTTAATGAATCTTGTGCTGTGTGCTCCTCGTTCCTACTGTTAACTGGTGATGCAACACTGACATTTCCTCTCTGTGGGACCAACACCAGAGTTGTACCACAATAAACCAGAGTTACACTTGTGCTAAATGGTTTGTGGGGCTAATTTCCGGTCCATCGATATTCTACAGTCTCTGAGCTTTAAATATGGTCCAGAAAGTTCCCATTTCTCTTCAAGGTTTCATTCTCAAACTCTATTCTCTGTTGGAACAAAGACTTGGACACGGCTTCTTTAAAAGTGAAAGCGTGATTTATCTTATTCATATTTACAACTGAACAGGAGCAGAGTTCTAATGCAATAGAAATACACTTTAAACACATCAAAAGAACTTCTGAAATTATGGGCAACAAATAAACGTAAGAATTTAACACCAAGTATAAAATGAATGGACTGAACTGAAAGGTAAATTAGATGGCTATTTCTTTACATTCTAATAATAATAATATAATAACAATAATAATAATCACAATCATCATAATAATAATAATAATTAAAATAACAATAATAATAATTAAAATAACAATAATAATAATTAAAATAACGATAACAATAATAATCATTAAAATTATAATAACAGTCATAACAATAACAATAAAAAAACCAATAATAATAATCATGGAAAGAATTGTACAATTATGACATTATGAATTATTCATATACAATATTATGAATATTATACAATGCAATAATACTCACATTAACAATATAAAAATATGAATTACAATATTCTTGACAATAATACAGTGATAATCATCTGCATGTTTTGGACAATGCACTTTTTTTAACTCCAAATCAAGTGGTATTAATTAAAAAGACAGATATAGAGGTTCATATGTCGCCTGCACAATTCTTCATTGACAAAGTCTCCAAAATGACCTCTAGATATTTAGCAACGTGTGGTTCCATAAAGATTCAAAGATGCCATCTCCCACTCTCTCATTCCTTTCAGTTTGTCCATTTTAATTCACTTTTTCTTCTTTGTGTGGATTTTCTGCTGACAATGGTTGAATTTTCTCATCTTCCTTAATGTCATTTGTTGTTTTTTCTGGTACAATATTATCTTTGCTTTTGACTTCTCCATTTGGCTTCAGTTCGTCCACTACGACCACGGGCTCTGTTTTGTTCAACGATTCTGACTTGTTTTCCACCGCTTCGTTGGAATTATTCAGATTTCCGTCAACTTTTGCATAGTTTTTCTCAACTTTGTCGACTTGAACGCCATTTTTCTCAACTTTCTTCTCCTCTTTCACCCCAAAAGTGGAGGGGGTCATCAGTTCGTTCATGTCCGGCATCTCTTCGGCCAACAGCGACAACCTTTTCGACAGCCTTTGCGGCAAGAAACTGGCCAAAGAAATCCTGCTAGCTCCTCGCACAATGCCATTATTCACCTCCCCGGTCTCCAAAAATGGCGTTGGCCCTGCCCAGTCCGTCGTGGCGATTTGGTGCTTCTTGAGTTTCTGCTTTTTGTACCAAATCACCAGGAATCCAATCAGCATCGCGATCAGAGCTCCTCCGATGATCCAGGCTGCGATTCTTCCGTGGTTTACGCCATTTTTCGGGGTTTCAACGTAGGTAGTCTCGATTTCTGTCTCAGCGGTAGGTTCCGATGCCGTAGAAGTTTTTACCGCTTCTCTTGAGGTCTTTTGAACATCTGTAGGTATCTTTGTTGATGTTTGCGTTTTGTAATCTGTCGTTTTGCCGAGTTTTGTTGTCTCTGAATCCATTGCGTTTTCAGTGGTTACCGATAACTTCGCGGTGGGAGAAAGCCGAGAAGACGTCGACTCCGTGAATACTGAGTTGTCTGTTTGCGTTTGGCCAGAACTGGTCTGAACTGTGCTTTCAAACAGCGACGTCGTGCTTATAATCGAGCTTGAGAAAGAAGCGGCTTGCGTGGTATCGCCGGTTGAGCTTACGGTTTCGGTATTTTGAGCTGCTGTGATCGGTATTTCACTGCTAGCGGTGACGGTTGCGATATTTGTGGTACTAGAGGACGTCGATTGCGTTGTAAATCCGATCCTTTTCAGTACAGCGTATGTGGTATCGATAGTCGAGCTTGCCATTTCATCAGTTTGAGGTTCAACATTTGGGATATCGGTTTCCATTGCGGCAGTTGTGGATCCAGATGTAGTTTGCGTTGGACGTCCAGCACTTGTGGCATCAGTGGTTGGCTTTATAATTACAACATAAGTGGAGACTATTGGCCATGAAGGGGTTTCATGCTCTAGCTGCATTGTTGTCCCTTGGTCACTCGGGACCACTGTAGTTTGAGCGTTTGCTTGCCGTTTTATGATGGAGATTACAATCAGTAAGCTGACCAGCATTTTGTCCTTCATTATGGCTTGCTGCAGGATTGGCTCTGCTGGAAGAAAATAAAAGGGTTTAGGATTAACATAAGTTCTTCAATATCGACAATTTCAAAGTTGTGTGATTTACAATTGAGTCATAGAGAGAATATAGTGTTTCTGCCTGCTCTATATAAGTCGATGTATTTTTGTATAGCCCTAACCTGTAGTCATTTTCAAGGATACAATACTGCTGATTCACCAACATAGATCATAGAATCAAACAGTTCAATGCAATGATAAAAAACAGCTATTGGTCCATGTTAAAAACTAGTTCTAAACTACAGTTATCTGCACAGAAGCACACATAGCAGACAAGGTATAAGTTTAATACTTGCATGCAACAAGGAGGAGATGCTTTTCAGCTGCTTAGGAGGCCTGAGCGTCCTAACGCAGCCCAAAAGAAAGTCCTATTTGATACTCTGCAGGCAGCTTAGTTATTACAGAACAGAACCCACACCCTCAGAATGGCCCCACAAGATAAGACATCCACACCCTCACACAGAGTGGTCCCACAAGATAAGACATCAACCACTTGTTGGACTAAGGTCTTGCAACTGTGGGCAATGTGGATGATTTTAGCCTGGTTTAAACACTTCAGTTGTAGATTGACTACATTGATTTTAATGATAACCCATAAAATTCCACTATCAGTCCAAAAGGGGCAGACGACCAATGTCCATATATGTTCATAAATATCGAGTGTCTTGAATGTCCTGCTATGCCATGAAGTTCTTTGGTGTGCCTTTGGTAATGATCCAATAACGCCACAATAAGTCAAAATAATGTGATAAAAGTGAAAATTGTATAAGCTAAGAGAAAATTTTACACATTTTACCATATGTTACATGCCCTGTTATTTTATGTCGTTGTGATGGTGTGTTTGTGTGTTTGTGCCTGTTGTATGTGTATTTATCTGTTTTGATATCAACCTGCCATGGGACTACGGATGACAGTTAGCCTACATGGCTAACTCTGGCACATTTACATGTTCAAAAACACACGTTGATTAATGTGCACTGTCCCAATTCAAATAAAGATAAAAAAAAAAAAATTCCATTGTGGAGAATTGTTGTAGCTACAGGACTTTGTAAGAGCACACAATATATACAGTATAAGTAGTAATGCTTCTGTAATTCTTCTTAAAGTGATAGTCTAACTCTAAATGAATTACAAATGTTAAGAATTGTATTAAATTGACCTCCTGGCCTTAAATGCTGATATAAAATAAGTCATTTTATGAATTCTAATATTACGGGTTGGTCCCGCCTTCCCTGCTCTTGGCTATAGCTCAGAATCCACGATGCCGTCCACGTTAACCAATCGAGTCGTGCCAAGGGCTGTCAATCATCGGCGCTGATGCTTGTAGCTGCTCATGCTCAGTTGTTTGTTTTCACGGAGCCTCCGAATCAAGCCTCCATTATATACTGTACCTATGTCCATAATCATTTATATACTGAACATATATCTATAATCATTTATATACTGAACATATATCCATAATCATTTATATACTGAACCTATTTCCATAATCATTTATATACTGAACCTATATCCATAATCATTTATATATGAACCTATATCCATAATCATTTATATACTGAACCTATATCCATAATCATGTATATATGAACCTATATCCATAATCATTTATATATGAACCTATACCCATAATCAGATCCTCTGCAGATGTTTCTATAATATGCAGTTCATGATAATAGCACTTCCTGGTTTGCCGCGATCGCTTTTTTTTGTTGCATTAAAACATTATTTTTTTCATGAAAACGTGAACAGAAAATCCTGAAAACCTCTGTACATGTGTGTTAATAATGTATATGTATAATGTGTTCTCTCATTAACATTTAAATGTGTTACGGAAACACAGGTGTAGACCAATCAGAACTTGAAAGTGGGAGGAGCTTGCGTTGTTTTTTTCAAATCGAGCACCTCTCTGTCTCTTTCTGACAAACTGCAGACAATCACTAACTAGCTGTGAAGGCTTCATAAGAAAGAGTATATTTAGCGCTAGTTTGATTTGATGATCAATGAGAATGACTTGATGAATTAATAAAAGCTAGACCATATAATTTTGGATTCAGCTGGTGGTGTGCCGTGTGATAATCAATAACAACTGAACACTCTCTCTCCTACCACCACAACTTCTGCTGCTGCAACACTTTTCCCCATTTCATTTTCTAAACTGGAACACACACAAATCTTATGCTTTCTGCTACTTTGAAATTACTACATTCACGAAATATATCGGTAATATGACTGTCATGGTTTTCAATGTCATCATTATTTGCCACTGTTTCTGGGAGAAAAGCAAGGATTTCAAATTGTATGCATTTTACCAAAGATTTTACAGTTTAGTGGTTTTCACTGGTCAAGCTTCTTTTAAGAGCGAACAAGATTTTTACTATTTGACTGCGATAACTGGGAGATTACTTATACCTAGGATTGCCTTTTTTCCGATGCTGCTAATGTTATTTCACTGACCAACTGACGCACTTTTCTCTCCTAAACCTTTCCTCTGATCTTATTGAAACCAAATTTAAAAACTTCTTCAAAGCCTGTTGGTCTTGTCATGTTTTGCCTGTGACTTTTTGTCAGGAAGTGACCAGAACTTGGGTGTGACGGTGTTGAGAAACGTGAGACTTCCTTTTCTCGACTCTAAAGGTGGAGTTACACCACATTGTGCGTTTACAGTAGTGTCCCTGAATACATGAGCGGCCTTTACTGGCAATGTAACACACTTTCACTGCTGTGAGATGTTAGCGTTAGCCGTTGGCGTAGCTTGGTTTGAGGTTTGAGGTTAGCGGTGATCTGCAGTGTGCCAACCTCAAAACTAGATATTCAGGTTAACTGAAAAGGAAAATCGGCCACGTTTGTTTCTTTATATTCTAAATTTTAAACATTTAAGGTTTTCTGCACATCCTGAGTGATCCTGTTGATGCCGAATTATAAATTTCTCCAAGTTTTATCTCGTCCTAGTTTTGTTTCATGCATGCATTTTGATTCTCTCAAGAAGTCTATTTTTAAGTACCGTTATATGTTATTGTCCTCTGCTTTTGACCCATCCTTCCAACACGAGTCAGGACCAGAGCTGGGGGAGGTTTTGGTACACGTTTTTAGTGGTGGGGGAAACCGGAGCACTCGGAGGAAACCTATGCAAACCATTTCGTGACAAATCTGACCATAACATTGTTCCTTTTTACTTTTTAATTTGTTATTATGTTCAAGATGGAGATTAAATACTTGTTTTTCAATGCTAGAGTTATAGATTTTGTGTTGTTTTAATTAGTTATGGTTCACTTATCTTGTGCTCCTCATTTCTACTGTATTATAACTTGTGATGCAACACTGAAATTTCCCGCAAATGGCGCCGTGGCACGCTCTCTGCCAAAGAGCGGGGGAGGAGGGGGGGGGAGGGGGAGGGGGGAGGAGGAGGGGGGAGCGGTCTTGAGAATTGTCTTGCAGTGCCTTAACTTCTCTTTTAATGATTTTAGTGTATTTCATTTTTAATCGTTCTTTTATCTTTGAACTCTATCCCTTGTTTGTTTGATTTGCGAGCAAGCGGCAGATGCACAACTTCCTTTTTGGATCAATAAAAGTATCTAATCTCAAAGCTAATTTAACTTTCCAATATTCCCAGTTGAAAACACGATTGAAAGTCCTGCCCCTGACCTTTTCACACCAACACTTGGATTAGAATCGACCCGACGTCAAACCGCAGTAAGCAGCTTGTCTCTGTGTGAACTTCCTCCTGCTACACTTTGCAATCGTGTGTTAGTATTTAAAAGTATAGAAAGTGTGGTTCATGTATAACTGTATATAAGCTCCAATTCACTTTTGATAATATTTGTGAGATCATTGGGAAAAGCAGTGAAGTTCAGGGTTTGAATAGAATATATTGTATGACTTTTTATGGACATTTTTCCCATTTTCTAGACTGTAGTAGACCCTCACTCCGACTTCTACAATGTTCTACTGTTGCTACTACTTTTCCCATTTTCTAAACTGGACCACACACACATCTTATTATGCTTTCTGCTACTCCTGAAATTACTACATTCAGAAAATATATTGGTAATAATAAGGTCTTTCATTGTGTTGTTTTTGTCCTGTTGGAAATGTCGTATGCCACTGTCGCAAGTAAAAGGGATGGTAAAATTAATTTGAAATCCTTGCTTTTAAAATATTTTAGAGTTTACTAGTTTGCTGCCTGGACAAGCGTCTTTAAGAGTGAAATTAACAAGAGATTTTTACTATTTGACCGAGATAACTGGGGGATTACACTAATAACGCTACATGTTACTAATACTGCATGTCCATACACAAGCTCTGTTTAGTTCTGCACAATTTTCCCATTTTTTTGTCTTGTCTTGTGTTGGGAATAGATTTTAAAAAGGTAAATTTCCTTACCTTGTTTTATTGAGTCAAATCCTGTCCGTGCAGTCTCCAGTTCATGATTTCTTGAGTCTGGACGCGTCGGTGGTAGTTGTCAAATTTCAAACGTTGAAATCAGGAACTGTTTTTTTTTTTTCTCTCTCCTTTGCTGAAATTCTTGCCACATCGACCGGAAGAAACTGAATGACTGTTGGCCTCCCTCATAGCAAGGGAAGTTTCACACCGAGAAAGAGAGATTTAGTGTAACGGCGAGTTTGTACGCTTTGAGAGTCGCATAAAGCTCACATTAATTCATATTTACAGAATCAGCATTCGTACTAGCAGCAGTAGTAGCCGTAGCACTAGTAGCCGTACTTGCGGTAGTAGCAATATATGCATTTATGGTGTAATATTTTTATCTTTTCAACAGATTTTTTGAATGCAATACTTAATATGTATTTGCACTGTTTTTATAATTGGTCTATTTTATTTAATGGATTTGAGTTACTGTATGAATTGTGCTTTATAAATACTTTTTGATTTGATTAGCCGCAGTAGCTAGCAGTAGTATTAGCAGCAGCGGAGGTGGTGGTAGCAGCAGTGAATCATATAACTTGTATCATGGACAATAGAATCACAGCATGTAATATCAGACTTCTACCACCAGAAGGGAGGAATTGATTTATTTTTTCTCAACATCCAACATTGCATGCAGTTATGGAAGGCACACTGTTGTTTTACCTGAGAAATTGATAACACTAATTGTGCAATAATTAGTTTGAAAAGTTAGAAAACGGTTTTGAACATAATGTAAGGGCGTCTTAACTTTGTCCAACTTGGATCTTTCCCATCAGAGGTTCAGAGGTCTGGGCTGGCCCGAACCCTAACTGTTACGTTGATACGTGTTAACCAGTGGGGGTGGGTTTCGGCTCAAAAGTGGCCAAAAGGACGTGCGCTGACATGCTGCAATACCACCCCGGGCCTGTGGGGGTGGACCCAGAATAAGAATTAGCCAATGCTAACATATAGCATTGGCAGACCTCTCAAAAACGTCTTTACAGGATGGACCAAAAGCTGGCTCTTGGCCCAAAGCTCCGATCCACATGTGTGTCAATGCTGATGGAGTGTTTTGGTCCACTCTAGTTTAGTCGCTGTGGACTTTAGAAGTCTCTCGTTCAAATGAATAAAGCTGCTCCGGCTGACGCATGCGCAGATACATTTTTTCACAATTTTCTTGTGGGCGGGACCACTGGCGGCCATTTTGGATAGCACATTTTTTGGCGTGACTACGTCTGTAAATATATACAGTCCATGGTGTTGACCAGTATTTGTCACTGGTTGTCCTTTATCTCTTTATCTCCCTCTCAGTTTGCACTTTTTCTGTGTCCGTCTCCAGGACCTGTACATTGGAGAGAATCGAATGTTGCTTGTAAAGAATGTTGGTTTCTAAGGGACTGAAAATGGCTAAATTTTAATTGTACGTTCAAATGAACAAAGCTGAGAGTTAAAGGGGTCAAAAATAAAAGATAATTCCGTAAAAGTAATCATTTAGGAACAAAAAGTCACACAGTTATGAAGATAAACAAAACATTCTTGTCAGCCCTTTCTAAGATCTCCTTATACACATCCTGATCCTTAACCTAAAACTAAAACATAGAGAAGGGAATATAAACAGATGATCTCTTTAAAAGTTTGCTCAATAGTTCATCTTTAATCTGTGTCTACACCACGAGGGGCGTGTCCTCCAGGTCCCGGGGCAGATCCGAGCAGGACTCTCTGGACTCTGAGGTCTGCATCAGGGGCTTTTCCTCTGGTCTTCCCTCCTCCTCCCCCTCCTCTCCCTCCTCCTGCTCCTCCTCTTCCTCTCTGATCTCCTGCAGCTCCTCCATCAGCACACTGTCGTCACACGGCCCCGCCACTCCCCTGGCCTCCGCCTCCAGGTCGGCCGCGGCTTTAGCCCAGTGACTCGCGCTACCGGCCAGGTCCAGGTTGGAACGAGAGCTCCGCGGGATGTACACTCGCCTCTGCAGATGGTGGACCTGGGAAAGTAGACTGTACTCAGGGACAGAACGGAACTTTGTAATCTATTCTAAAACTACTTGATGATAGAGGAGAAATAGAAGTCCCAGCGCAAAAAAAATAAGCTAATTCAAGCTGATTTACTTGAGAGCACAGGGAAGAGCCAAGTATATAAGGTACTCCTCAGTCCTGGATGTGCAGCCTCAGTCCTGGATGTGCAGCCTCAGTCCTGGGATCTGCAGCCTCAGTCCTGGGTCTACAGCCTCAGTCCTGGGTCTACAGCCTCAGTCCTGGGTCTACAGCCTCAGTCCTGGGTCTACAGCCTCTACAGCCTCAGTCCTGGGATCTACAGTCTCAGTCCTGGGATCTAGACCCTCAGTCCTGGAATCTACAGCCTCTCAGTCCTGGGATCTAGACCCTCAGTCCTGGGATCTAGACCAGGGGTGCTCACACTTTTTCAGCATGCGAGCTACTTATAAAAGGATCAAGTCAAAATGATCTACCTACTACAAAAATGCAAATCATATATTTATTTCAAAAAATATTCTTTATACCTACAATGTATGTTTATGTACATGCAAAACTGCATGAGCCAATATAGCACAACACAACACAATTACCTATGTACATTTTTTGTCATTACCCGAGTTTACTCTGATGACTTGCACTGAATTGAATCGGCCAGGGATGCATAGTCCGGAAAATTGGTGGTAACTCGCTGACAAGTTTGTCGTTGTTTAGCTTTCCTGCACTGAGCGCGGTTGTTTGCGCATGTGCAGTAGTGTCAGTAAAACATTACTGAGTAAAACACAGATGTCATTTGACTGTGGTGCCATGTCCATGTGCCATGCCTGTTTTTTTAAAAATCCAAATATTTCCCCTCCTCAGTTTATAAAATATTTTGCATCCACACATGGGCGTTATCAATCACATTCGTAACATTCCAAACATGTGCGTCTCTTAAGTCCTGTCCTGCGTTGGGGAAAAACACGGAAGTGGGCGGAGCTTTGATGCAGACGCCGGTAACGGCACTTTTACAGTCATAGAAGACACTCAGAGTAAAGACGTATGTTTACAAGCACTGACCCCGTCCTCAGCCCTGGTTTAGTCCTGGTTTAGTCCTGGTTTAGTCCTGGTTTGGTTGTTTTCGAGCGTGAGTCCCTGCGATCACTTTGCTGCTCTCTGATGTGGAGCGAGGATGTTCGCTGCTGCGAGCATCTCACAGCGAACAGTTTTTAAGGTAGTATGATCCATGCTTCAGTGATCAGAGGAATTTAGGGGGGTACTGTGGCGTGTGAGAACGCAAAACTCCGGTTATCTCTGTCTACACACAAATGCATTAACGGAGTTTTCAAAAATCTCCACTTTGCCCGGAGTTTTTTGCATATATTCGTTTAGAATGTGTAATTTTTTATTTATTTAATGCGATCTACCAATACTACCTTTGCGATCGACTGGTAGATCGCGATCGACGTATTGAGCACCCCTGATCTAGACCCTCAGTCCTGGATCTACAGCCTCAGTCCTGGATCTACAGCCTCAGTCCTGGAATCTACAGCCTCAGTCCTGGGATCTACAGCCTCAGTCCTGGAATCTACAGCCTCAGTCCTGGAATCTACAGCCTCAGTCCTGGAATCTACAGCCTCAGTCCTGGGATCTACAGCCTCAGTCCTGGGATCTACAGCCTCAGTCCTGGGATCTACAGCCTCAGTCCTGGAATCTACAGCCTCAGTCCTGGAATCTACAGCCTCAGTCCTGGAATCTACAGCCTCAGTCCTGGGATCTACAGCCTCAGTCCTGGCATCTACAGCCTCTCAGTCCCGGCATCTACAGCTTCTGTCTATGGGAGCTTACTCGAGATTCCTCACTTTTCGTACCGATAAAGGAGGGTCTAAGGATTAGGTCTAAACAAAACCACATTGGGTGTAACATACCTGACAGGCCAGAGTGACCACAGCCAGCAGCAGACATAGGATCAGGCCTCCTGCTGAGCCGATGGCGATCAGGGCCATCTGGTTATCAACGAGGCACTCTGCGACCGTGGCGTTCTGCTCGAGGGCTGGGGTTATAGAAGGAACTGGGCTGGTCTGGTTTGTGAGGGTTTCAGGTGTGGTCCAGTCCGTCAGGTTTTCAGACCAGCTCCAAGGCAGAAGACAGAGGACCAGGAGAACACAGGGAGGGAGGGGAGGCAGGCCACTGAAGTTCATCTCGGATCTGAAGAAAAACACATATCATTGTATAGACCAACAAAATCCACCAATTAACCGTAATTGGTCAAAAAAGTCTAACCAGAGTTTACAGGAAGAAAGGAAACTAAAAAATGTCCTTAGAGCCTCCTTCTTCAAAAAACACGTAGCAGTTTAAATTTAAATACTGTATATGTGTGTAGAGATAGTTGGAAAAATAATGGACAGATTTAATTTTTTAACAGAAATGAGAAAATATTTTGGCTATCCTGGCTTGCAACCTTTTTTAATCAGTGAAGTCCCACATTGGATATTAGTGTAGTCTGTGTATATCTCTCACACACAGCCTTAAAGTGCACATATTTCTGTGTGTTTAAGTGGAAAACTCACCTAAAACCAAGTCCGATCTGGGTCAGTTTGAAGCTGTGAAGTGCAGTCTGTCGCTGTGATGTTTCTCTTCAGTATTTTTGGTTCAGCGTTAAAAACCACGCAGTCTCGAGAACCTAAAACAAGACACGACATTTCCAGTCAAAGGTATCGCTGAAGTATTTGCAGATTGTCGATAAGTGGTCGACGTTAATGTTAAAGCTGTATCGTGCATTTGTGTTGATACTTTGGTAAATCCATGTCCTTCTGCTGCTGTTGGGGTTTAGGGCTGCACACAAACAGATAGAAATGTGTTTTAGACCTGGTCAGACCTGGTTCAGTGGACCTTGTTCTTTGTTTTACTCCAACAAAATATCACAAGAATGGACTTTAAGAAATCAAACACATTTTTCAATCTCTGCCGTGATTTTTACACATCAATGTAACTCTGCAAATCCTGGTTGCACTTTTTTAATTCTATAAATAGCCTCACTTTGATTATTTCTGATGCAAATCTGTACGTATATAAATGTATGTATGTGTTTTTGTTTGGTTCTTCATGTCGGTGTGTGTCTGAATGATTTTATTACATGTAAAAATATGTATATGAATATGACCCAGGAAGACAAGACAAGACTGCAAGACACTTCCCCCACATTAGAATGAGTCTGGTGGGGATGGTTGGATGGCACAGACTGGTTGTCTCGCTTCTGTCAGTGTGCCCCAGGGCAGCTGTGGCTACAGAAGTAGTTTATCACCGCTGTGTTTGGAGTGAATGAATAATGTGAAGCGAGTGTCCTGAAAAGCGCTGTATAAAACTGATTTATTATTATTGAACTAAACATGAAATAAGCATAACCTTAAACATATTTACTTATTTTATTTATTTATCTTCATTTATAATTTTTTATATATTTATTTTGATAATATTCTCGTTTTGCTTCAAATAACTGGTTGTACTGCCTGTGGAATGCTTATTGATTAATGTATGACTGCAACAAAAAACTAAAAAAATATAAATTACAAAGAAAAAAAAGTGTTTGATTTTTTTGTTTTGTTAGCTCGTTGGGAATAACGTCGCTAACTTACTATTTTCTGGTGTAGAAAAACCGAATACTTTAATTTCTACAAAGCTATAGACCTCCCTATACAATGAAACTAAACACGAGCCATCAACTCACCGTCTCTTCTCTTTCCTTTTGTCTGTTTTGTTGTTTCCAGATTCAAAACGGGTCAAATCAACGGCGACCTGCTCATCTACCACGTCCTGCTCACGCTCAAACCCTACTACGCCAAACCGTACGAGATCGTGGTGGACCTGACCCACGTGGGGCCCAGCAACCGCTTCAAGACTGACTTCCTGTCCAAGTGGTTCGTGGTGTTCCCGGGGTTCGCCTACGAGAACGTGGCGGCCGTCTACGTCTACAACTGCAACACCTGGGTCCGCGAGTACACCAAGTACCACGAGCGCCTCCTGACGGGACTCAAGGGGAGCAAGAAGCTGCAGTTCATCGACTCGCCGGCGAAACTGGCCGAGCACATTGAGCCGGACCAACAGAAGCTGCCGGCCGCCACGCTGACCCTGGAGGAGGACCTGAAGGTGTTCCACAACGCGCTCAAGCTAGCTCACAAAGACACCAAGGTCTCCATCAAGGTTTGTGGCCAGGGGGAGGGAGAGAGAGACGGGGAGAGAGAGAGACGGGGAGAGAGAGACAGAGAGACGGGGAGAGAGAGACAGAGAGACGGGGAGAGAGAGACAGAGAGACGGGGAGAGAGAGAGACGGGGAGAGAGACAGAGAGACGGGGAGAGAGACAGAGACGGGGAGAGGGGGAGAGAGACAGAGACGGGGAGAGAGAGAGACGGGGAGAGAGACAGAGAGACGGGGAGAGAGACAGAGACGGGGAGAGACGGGGAGAGAGACAGAGACGGGGAGAGAGAGAGAGAGACGGGGAGAGAGACAGAGAGACGGGGAGAGAGACAGAGAGACGGGGAGAGAGACAGAGAGACGGGGAGAGAGACAGAGAGACGGGGAGAGAGACAGAGAGACGGGGAGAGAGACAGAGAGACGGGGAGAGAGACAGAGACTGGGAGAGAGACAGAGACTGGGAGAGAGAGAGGAGAGAGAGAGACGGGACGGGGAGAGAGAGACGGGGAGAGAGAGAGAGACGGGGAGAGCGGGGTTTGGTAACACGTTTGACTGGGATTTTATGATTTTTTTTCTTGCTAAATTATGCTGTAGATGTTATACTTGCTGCTTTATTAAGCTAAAGTTAGATTATATTCTTGATTTATTATGCTAAAGTCAGACATTTCAGTGTAGCTTCTTTTTATGCTACACTGAAATGTCTTACTTTCTTAATCTTAATAATTAGTGATTATTTTGATAATGTATTAGGCTAGGCTTAGCCTGGCCTCATGATCAATCATCATTTCCTGCATGTAACGTCTGGGTCTGGTCCTTGTGTTTACGATCACAATCGGTAGAATTCCATCTGACCAATCAGAGAGCGCGGAAGGCAGGTGTTGTAGTTAGATGTGGGTGACGTCAAGAGTTTGCGCCGAACAGGCAGGTTGTAGTTTGGCAAAGAATGTGATAGTAAAGTAATCCAGTCTGGTTCTATCAAGAAACTGAAGCCGGAGAAAGAGGAAGGTTTAGCAAAAGTCATTGCTGCAAAGATTGTGGCGCTACTCCCCACGGGCTCCGTTAGCAACAACGGAGATGGCTAAAGCTAGGCTAAATGCTAACAACAGACTCGGGCTCATTATAAACGTCACAGTAAACTCAGATCCAATGGTTTCAATCTGCAAAAGGAGTTAACCCCTCCCACCTGTAAACGGAGTCAATGGAGCAAATCCAGACGTTAGTACACAATCTAATTTGTACTATGGTGTGGTACGACCAGGCTAGGCTAGGCTAGTTAAGGCAGTTAAACAGAACTGTTTTTAACATGGATTTTGACCAGCTGCATAAATCTGAAACGTTGCCTCCTCATGTTAATCCTGACTGTGGGACCAGCAGGAGGCCATTCTGGAGAACGTCTTTATAGATATGCATTGGTATTTTTGACCTGCAGAAAGCTTTCAGGACAAACCTTACACGATCCAAACCAAACTCTCCTAAAGCCGACTCCGGTCTGGGTCTATTTGAAGCTGTGGAGTGAAGTGCAGACTGTCGCTGTGACGTTTCTCTTCACTATGTTTTGTTCCGGGTTCAGAACTGCGCAGTCTCGAGACCTAAAACAAGACGCCACATTTCCAGTTATAATTATCATTTAAGTATTTGTGTCTTGTGCTTTAAGTAGTGGACTAATGTGATGTCACTTCCTGAGTCTGGGCTTAAGCTAAGTCTATACTAATGTTGCTGAATGTGTGTGAGTGTTTATGGTTACTGTGTATTTTTATAAGTTTTTTGTTTAATTATATATGTATTTTTTGTACATTCATTTTTGTTCGTTTTCCTTTCATTTTTGTGACATTGAGTTTATAGACCCTAGGAAGAATAGCTGCTATATCTTAAACTAGCTAACAGGGATCGAAATGAAGAAAAATAATCAAAGCTGGTGTTTTGAATAAGGAGACCACAGGCTTCGAGGCTCTTTAGTAAAGTAACTCCTTAATAACAGGAGAATTCCAGGGTTGAATTGTTACCCTAACTCCTGCTCTTTATCCTCTTTCTCATCTTTCTCATCCTCCTCTTTCTTCTCTTTTCTTTCTCCTCCTCCGGCAGGTGGGCTCCACGGCGGTGCAGGTGACCTCCGCAGAGCGCACCCGTGTCCTGGGGCAGCCCGTGTTCCTGAACGACGTGTACTACGCCTCTGAGATTGAGGAGATCTGCCTGGTGGACGAGAGCCAGTTCACCCTGACCATGGCCAACCAGGGCACCCCTCTGACCTTCATGCACCAGGAGTGCGACGCCATCGTCCAGTCCATCATCCACATCCGCACGCGCTGGGAGCTGTCTCAGCCCGACTCCATCCCGCAGCACACCAAGATCCGACCCAAAGACGTGCCCGGGACTCTGCTCAACATCGCTCTGCTCAACCTGGGCAGCTCCGACCCCAGCCTCAGGTCTGCGCAGCCTCCGGGCGTCTCCTTTAACTACGTTTCAAACTCTAGTATTACTCTACATCAGAAGTCTCCAACCTTTCCCCAAGACAAGCTACTCTTTTAGGACAAAAAAGGCAGAGAGCTACTCCTTTGCGGCAGTTCAAAAGAAATCTAGTCATTCGTGTGAATTGGTATAGGATGGAATTGGATTGTGTTATGAGTATTTAACTGTAAATCAATTATTTGGGGATTTTTGAGGATTCTGTGAAATGTCTAAATCCTTTGGGGGAGCTACTTGTAAAAGGGTGGTGACCTACTGGTAGTTCCCGAGTCACAGGTTGTAGACCCCAGCTCTACATCATATTCAGAATCAGAATTATTTTTATTGCCATTGTCAGTACACTGCCAGATGTAAGGTATTTTTGACTTCAAAATGTATCTTAATTTAAGCACATTCTGAGCCTTAAAATTAGATTTGCCAATGGCACTTTGAGCAAAATGATCTTGTATTTAAAAGTACAGAAAAGTCTCTCTTGGAATGAGAAAAGAAAGCAACAGTTCTTGAAATAAACTAAATGGCTTTGTCTTAAAACAAGATTTGTCAGATTGGACTCAAATTAAGATGGAACAAATAACACTTATGAAGTAGTACAGTACTTGCTTGATATTTGATTTTGCTTTTTGCAGTGCAACAGGAATTCACAAACTAGGAAATAGCTTCGGTTCTCGGTGCAAACAATGTATACGTTTAAATTGACTTTGTGGCTAGCCCTGGTCTAAACCCTGGTCTCCCTGGTCTAAACCCTGGTCTCCCTGGTCTAAACCCTGGTCTCCCTGGTCTAAACCCTGGTCTCCCTGGTCTAAACGCTGGTCTCCCTGGTCTAAACCCTGGTCTCCCTGGTCTAAACCCTGGTCTCCCTGGTCTAAACGCTGGTCTCCCTGGTCTAAACCCTGGTCTCCCTGGTCTAAACCCTGGTCTCCCTGGTCTAAACCCTGGTCTCCCTGGTCTAAACCCTGGTCTCCCTGGTCTAAACCCTGGTCTCCCTGGTCTAAACCCTGGTCTCCCTGGTCTAAACGCTGGTCTCCCTGGTCTAAACCCTGGTCTCCCTGGTCTAAACCCTGGTCTCCCTGGTCTAAACCCTGGTCTCCCTGGTCTAAACGCTGGTCTCCCTGGTCTAAACGCTGGTCTCCCTGGTCTAAACCCTGGTCTCCCTGGTCTAAACCCTGGTCTCCCTGGTCTAAACCCTGGTCTCCCTGGTCTAAACCCTGGTCTCCCTGGTCTAAACGCTGGTCTCCCTGGTCTAAACGCTGGTCTCCCTGGTCTAAACCCTGGTCTCCCTGGTCTAAACCCTGGTCTCCCTGGTCTAAACCCTGGTCTCCCTGGTCTAAACCCTGGTCTCCCTGGTCTAAACCCTGGTCTCCCTGGTCTAAACCCTGGTCTCCCTGGTCTAAACCCTGGTCTCCCTGGTCTAAACGCTGGTCTAAACGCTGGTCTCCGTGCTCTAAACGCTGGTCTCCCTGCTCTAAACGCTGGTCCAAACCCTGGTCTTGCTGGTCTAATCTCTGGTCCAAACCCTGGTCTCGCTGGTCTAATCTCTGGTCCAAACCCTGGTCTCGCTGGTCTAATCTCTGGTCCAAACCCTGGTGTCTCTCTGGTCTAAACCCTGGTCTCTTTCTGGTCCAAACCCTGGTCTCTCTGGTCTAAACCCTGGTCTCCCTGGTCTGTCTGTTCCAAACCCTGGTCTCTTTCTGGTCCAAACCCTAGTCTGTCTGTTCTAAACCCTGGTCTCTCTGGTCTAAACCCTGGTCTCTCTGGTCTAAACCCTGGTCTGTCTGGTCTAAACCCTGGTCTGTCTGGTCTAAACCCTGGTCTGTCTGGTCTAAACCCTGGTCTGTCTGGTCTAAACCCTGGTCTGTCTGGTCTAAACCCTGGTCTGTCTGGTCTAAACCCTGGTCTGTCTGGTCTAAACCCTGGTCTGTCTGGTCTAAACCCTGGTCTGTCTGGTCTAAACCCTGGTCTGTCTGGTCTAAACCCTGGTCTGTCTGGTCTAAACCCTGGTCTGTCTGGTCTAAACCCTGGTCTCTCTGGTCTAAACCCTGGTCTGTCTGGTCTAAACCCTGGTCTGTCTGGTCTAAACCCTGGTCTGTCTGGTCTAAACCCTGGTCTGTCTGGTCTAAACCCTGGTCTGTCTGGTCTAAACCCTGGTCTGTCTGGTCTAAACCCTGGTCTGTCTGGTCTAAACCCTGGTCTGTCTGGTCTAAACCCTGGTCTGTCTGGTCTAAACCCTGGTCTGTCTGGTCTAAACCCTGGTCTGTCTGGTCTAAACCCTGGTCTGTCTGGTCTAAACCCTGGTCTGTCTGGTCTAAACCCTGGTCTGTCTGGTCTAAACCCTGGTCTGTCTGGTCTAAACCCTGGTCTGTCTGGTCTAAACCCTGGTCTGTCTGGTCTAAACCCTGGTCTGTCTGGTCTAAACCCTGGTCTGTCTGGTCTAAACCCTGGTCTGTCTGGTCTAAACCCTGGCTGTCTGGTCTAAACCCTGGTCTGTCTGGTCTAAACCCTGGTCCTGGTCTGGTCTAAACCCTGGTCTGTCTGGTCTAAACCCTGGTCTGTCTGGTCTAAACCCTGGTCTGTCTGGTCTAAACCCTGGTCTGTCTGGTCTAAACCCTGGTCTGTCTGGTCTAAACCCTGGTCTGTCTGGTCTAAACCCTGGTCTGTCTGGTCTAAACCCTGGTCTGTCTGGTCTAAACCCTGGTCTGTCTGGTCTAAACCCTGGTCTGTCTGGTCTAAACCCTGGTCTGTCTGGTCTAAACCCTGGTCTGTCTGGTCTAAACCCTGGTCTGTCTGGTCTAAACCCTGGTCTGTCTGTTCTAAACCCTGGTCTCTCTGGTCTAAACCCTGGTCTGTCTGGTCTAAACCCTGGTCTGTCTGGTCTAAACCCTGGTCTGTCTGGTCTAAACCCTGGTCTCCCTGGTCTAATGGTCTAAACCCTGGTCTGTCTGGTCTAAACCCTGGTCTGTCTGGTCTTAAACCCTGGTCTGTCTGGTCTAAACCCTGGTCTGTCTGGTCTAAACCCTGGTCTGTCTGGTCTAAACCCTGGTCTGTCTGGTCTAAACCCTGGTCTGTCTGGTCTAAACCCTGGTCTGTCTGGTCTAAACCCTGGTCTGTCTGGTCTAAACCCTGGTCTGTCTGGTCTAAACCCTGGTCTGTCTGTTCTAAACCCTGGTCTGTCTGTTCTAAACCCTGGTCTGTCTGGTCTAAACCCTGGTCTGTCTGTTCTAAACCCTGGTCTCTCTGGTCTAAACCCTGGTCTCCCTGGTCTAAACCCTGGTCTCCCTGGTCTAAACCCTGGTCTAATGGTCTAAACCCTGGTCTCTCTGGTCTAAACCCTGGTCTCTCTGGTCTAAACCCTGGTCTCCCTGGTCCTAATGGTCTAAACCCTGGTCTGTCTGGTCTCAGGTCTGCGGCCTACAACCTCCTGTGCGCTCTCACGTGCACCTTTAACCTGAAGATCGAGGGCCAGCTGCTGGAGACGTCTGGACTCTGTATCCCGGCGAACAACACGCTCTTCATCGTCTCCATCAGTAAAACTCTGGCTGCGAACGAGCCGCACCTGACGCTGGAGTTCCTGGAGGAGTGCATCTCCGGCTTCAGCAAATCCAGTAAGACTTTCTACACCGCAGTCGTGTGTGTTTATATATATGTGTTTGTGCGTTTTTATATACACGTCTGTTTGTACGGATCTGAGATAGTATGACGTGTTTGAGGAGTTCCTGTCTACAGACACACACACACACACACACACACACACACACACAGAGAGAGAGACACACACTCTGGTCTCCCTCTCTCCCTCTCTCTCTATGTCTCTCTGTCTCTCTGTCTCTGTCTCTCTCTCGCTCTGTGTCTCTCTCTCTGCGTCTCTCTCTCTCTCTCTGTGTCTCTCTCTCTCTCTGCGTCTCTCTCTCTGTGTCTCTCTCTGCGTCTCTCTGTGTCTCTCTCTGCGTCTCTCTGTGTCTCTCTCTGCGTCTCTCTCTGCGTCTCTCTCTGTCTCTCTCTGCGTCTCTCTCTCTCTCTCTCTCTCTCTCTGCGTCTCTCTCTCTCTCTCTCTCTGCGTCTCTCTCTCTCTCTGCGTCTCTCTCTCTCTCTCTCTCTCTCTCTGCGTCTCTCTCTCTCTCTCTCTCTGCGTCTCTCTCTCTCTCTGTGTCTCTCTCTGCGTCTCTCTCTGCCTCTCTTGGTCTCTCTCTGCGTCTCTTGGTCTGTCTGTGTGTCTCTCACTCTCTCTGTCTCCGTCTCTCTCTCTCTCTCTCGGTCTCTAACCCTCTCACTCTCTCTATCTCTCTCTATCTCTCTCTCTCGGTCTCTAACCCTCTCACTCTCTCTATCTCTCTCTCTCTCTCTCGGTCTCTAACCCTCTCCCTCTCTCGGTCTCTCTCTTGGTCTCTATCCCTCTCTCGGTCTCTCATCTCTCCCCTCTCTCTTCTCTTCTCTCTCTTCTCTCATCTCTCTTCTCATCTCTTCCCTCTCTCCCCTCTTCCCTCTCCCCTCTCTCATCCCTCCCCTCTTCTCTCTCCTCTCAGGCATCGAGCTGAAGCACTTGTGTCTGGAGTACATGACCCCGTGGCTGCTGAACCTGGTGAGATTCTGCAAACACACGGACGACGCCAAACGCCAGCGAGTCACCGCCATTTTGGACAAACTCATCACCATGACGATAAACGAGAAGCAGATGTACCCCTCCATCCAGGCCAAGATCTGGGGCAGTTTGGGACAGGTGCATTTCTACTCTTTGGTCTGGTTCTATAAAGTTCCCATTTTTAAGTTTTTATTTGCATTTGCTTTGAAATTTTGATAATCTTTTCCAGTACCACTTATTAATTATGTAGATCAAAAGTTAGATAGTCCAGCTTTTCATGAATGAGAGAGAGACAGAGAGACAGAGAGAAAGAGAGAGAGAGAGAGACAGAGAGAGAGACACACACACACACACAGAGACACACACACACACACACACACACAGAGAGACACAGAGAGACACAGAGAGACACAGAGAGACACAGAGAGACACAGAGAGAGACAGAGAGAGACAGAGAGAGACAGAGAGAGACAGAGAGAGACAGAGAGAGACAGAGAGAGACAGAGAGAGACAGAGAGAGACAGAGAGAGACAGAGAGAGACAGAGAGAGACAGAGAGAGACAGAGAGAGACAGAGAGAGACACACACACACAGAGAGACACACACACAGAGAGACAGAGAGACAGAAAGAGGGAGAGAGACACACAGAGACACACACACAGAGAGAGAAAGAGGGAGAAAGAGGGAGAGACGCACAGAGAGACGCACGCACAGAGAGACGCACGCACAGAGAGACGCACGCACAGAGAGACGCACGCACAGAGAGACGCACGCACAGAGAGACGCACGCACAGAGAGACGCACGCACAGAGAGACGCACGCACAGAGAGACGCACGCACAGACGCACGCACGCACAGAGAGACGCACGCACAGAGAGACGCACGCACAGAGAGACGCACGCACAGAGAGACGCACGCACAGAGAGACGCACGCACAGAGAGAGAGAGAGACACAGAGAGAGAGACACAGAGAGAGACACACACAGAGAGACAGACTCTTTAAATTACAGTCATTTTGAAATCAAACCCATTCTGTCAGATCTACTTTCCCATTCCCTGTGGCGGTGTCTGTGATTGACCTGTCTCTCTCTCTCTCTCTCTCAGATCACGGACCTCCTGGACGTGGTGCTGGACAGTTTCATAAAGACCAGTGCCACCGGAGGCCTGGGCTCCATCAAAGCCGAGGTCATGGCCGACACTGCGGTGGCGTTGGCATCGGGCAACGTCAAACTGGTGTCCAGCAAGGTCTGTCTCTCTATCACTTCATATTTATATATGTTTGTTTTTCTTAGCTACAGACTCTTCATTTGGTGACAATTAGCCTCATTTTTACAATCGAAAGTTCTCTCTCGTTCTAATCTGTCTCTCGTTCTAATCTAATTTCTTCAAATTATTGGGTTAAATGTCTACAATTGGTGCAGACGCATATGAGAGACACTTATCCCAATAAACGGCTTTGAACAATTGTAAACAGCAACTTTCCTACGAGAAAATCAAAGAATGATT